TATCCTGAAAAGTGTGTATTTATGTTATACATTCATGTGGTATTACTTGGTCTGATTGTCATAGTGTTGTCAAGTCAAAAAGTTTTGAATAGACCATTTAACAGCATCTCTCTCTCTCTCTCTCTCTCTCTCTCTCTCTCTCTCTCTCTCTCTCGTCACACTTTGAACGGTGCTGAGGTTTCTGGTCCTCTCCAGAGCTGTGTAGAAAATGAGAAAGTGCTCATAGTGTAGCTTAGGTTTATATAAAAAAAATAAAAAAAACTCCAGAATAATCAAATCCATACAGACTTGAAACATGTGGCAATGGAAGTACAGTTGGTGGTTTAATAGAGACCATTCATCCTTGTATGTACTGTGCAGTCTGTGCGCGTGTGTGTGTGTGGTAATGGTATGCGGTCCTGGTGGTGTGAAGGAATGTGTGACTATATGCTCAGTCCCGACTGTGACTGAAAACCACAGGCCTATAACTTGCTTTTCATTAACACTCCTTTATACACACAAACGCAGCACCTTCCTGTGTGTAAGACGCTCACACCAGAGGCACGGCTGCCTCACACAGTGTCCATGTTTACACACATATATCCTGCTATCTAAAGTAAAGCAAACAGGTAATCTCCCACTGACTCTCTCACTCACTCATTCACACACACACACACACACACACACAGAGCTGTTTTGTGGCTATGAAAGGGCTTCTTGTGGGCAGACCTGATGGACATACAGAAAAATAAACAGTGGTCTTAAGGAGAAACCATTTTGTCATAGCCTGCTCACTGAGTTCATCACCCCCCCCACCCCCCCTGTCTTAATGGCACAAGTCTAATTGCTGGCCTGGTGTGTATCCGTGTGCATGTAAGTGTGTAAAATAGAATTTCCAGCCATGTGAAGACACAAAAACATCTCAACTAAACGCACAAGTAAACCACACTAAAAACAGAACAGAGCACATCTCAGTTCAGCAGCTGCTGTGGATGACTGGAAACTTCAGGTTACCTGAGTAATCCCTGTTCTCTGAGTGGTACAACAGCACATCTGAATGAATGCTATGGTGAAACACCGTCACCACCGATTAACTGATCAATTACTATTTTTTAGATATTTTTATATGTGCAAAATGCAGAAAATATATAGACGAGGACAAAATAAAAAGGAGAAAAACAAGGTGGGAATCACGATTCCTGCCGTTTCTGTAGAATGCATCAACATGGTGAAGGAGGGGTATTTTAAGTCAATGTACTCTGTTTATATGGTATATAATACATAAACAACAGCACAAACAAACAAAATAGATAAAGAAAGAAAGAAAAAACTGCTCACAAAACTGCTTGTCAAAGAACAAAGAAGAGTGCGAGTGTCATTTTCTTTGTTGACCAGTACATATCAAAGTCTTTCGAGGTCAAGCACCGTTGCCAACTCTCTAACCCATATATGAAACCTGGCTTATTCCTGACTTCCAGCTCTGCAAAATGAGGCGTTTGGTCAAAAGGGCACAGAGAGAAATGGCTAATTTCTCACAGCTGGTTAAAGAGGAGTTAGTAGAAGTTAGGCCAAGTATAGCCAACATGGGATCTGGGTAATAGCTTTTTTATAGGCAACACAGATTAACTCATCACTTACTATTTTGATTGATGTGAACTTCAATTACTGCCTCACAGTTGTATGCCTCTACCAACCAGCCAAGTTGCAGGAAATACGGTCGCAATCCACACACCTTCACAACCAGTTCATCTTTGAGTCCAAGTGAATGTTTGCACCAGATCTAAACTAATTCCCTCAGGATGGTCTTGAAACACCAAATTCAAGAGGCAAAAACTGTGACCTTTGACTTTTGACGACCAAAATCTAATCAATGTATCCTTGAGTCCTAGTGAATGTTTGTGCCAAATTTCCCTCAAGGTGTTACTGAGACATCACCTTCAGACGGACAACAATATGCCTCCGGCTCTGACTGTTGGCGGCATGGAGGCATAAAAAGAGAAAGTAATGTTTGCCATCTAGCTAGCTAACATACAACATGACACATGTCCATCTCAACACTCAGCAATGGCAATTCAAAGATCATTTATTGTTTTGCTTTTAGTGTATGGGCTCAAAAAGATGTTGAGCTTGTAAAGTTATTATAGTTGTAAATCAACTTTTGTAAACATGCAACATAAATCTGCATGAGGAATTCAAGTTTGTACATTTGTAGAAAAGATTTGTATTTGACTGAACAAATGATATCAGTGGAAAGATTACACAAAGACAATGTGGACAACAAGACAAGTGTTTTTGTAAACATCTGTATTAAGGCCTGAATTTAATTTGCCCTGCCACAGTTTAATGTATATAAAACATGAGCACACACACTCTGATCAGCTGATTGTAATGAAGCTGCTTGTAAGTGTGTAGGAGCTGCTCTGTGATTTATGAGCGGAGGAGATGGACAGACAGACAGAACACGTCATTTACTTCAGTTTCTGATCCTGCTGCTTTTTATGGTGGTAAAGACAAATCCTGGAGTCAATGAGAGAGGGAGCAGTCACTCCTCTTTCTCTCTCGCTCATAGGGTAACGTAACGTGTCTACTCTATGTGCTCTTTTAAATTGCCCCCTGGGAAAAAATAAAGTTTATTGAATTGAATTGCTAACCAGAAATAACCTCTTTGATTCAGGAGTGACACCGTCATTGGAAGTACTGTATTTCTGCCTCTTACAGTCAACTATTCTTTGGCACATACAGCCCGGTAATGTACAGATTCTAGCACGACATGTCCAGGATAATGTGTGTTAGTCACTGGTGTGTCTGTGCTGCAGTGTACATGTGGCTTCTGTGAGATGGGATGTTGTGTATACATGGAGTGTGTATGTGAGCATCTAACATTTACAGAGTGAGCCAATATTCCCAGAGAAATCTTTCTCTACCCCCCCCACCCCACCTTTCAATACAAGGATTTGTTTGTGTGTGTGTGTGTGTGTGTGTGTGTGTTTGGGGGGGGGGGGTCAGAAAAGCTGCCAGGGGAAATGAGTAAAAAACGAACAGGAGGAGCGTTCAGAGCAAGAAAACAGAGCGCTTTAACACCAGCAGAAGGTAACACACTCAGACCTTTATATATTCAGGCAGTCCACAGATACCCTCACACACACACACTGCTGCATGTAAATGTAAGACACATATACATGCACACCCATGAACTGACACGACAGCATCTACACTCAGTTTTATGAGTGTAGATGCTGAAAACATACACATACAAAGACAACTGGTCAAAAGTCTGAGAACACCTCCATTTCCAACTGTTATCAATGTCTCAGTGTTTCTCAAATTAAAATCAAGGAATCACAGAATCTTCTTGTTGGACTAAACTTAATCTAAAGTTTTGACTCATCCAGCAGCTGAACTCACTCGTGGCTCGTTTCTACATGGGAAATCAAACATTGTCCAGAGAGTTGGTCCCCGCACTGTTGCAGCGGTTACCACAGATGTGTTGGACCTGCATGTGTCTTTGCTTTCACCTTCTGTCCAGTTCATCCTAAAACCAGCTCCACGACGTTTCAGTCAGACTGTTCTGGTCTTTCATCATGTGAAGCCTCCATCTGGTTCTGGTCTTCTAATTTTTTGGCTCACTATCTTACCAACCAGTCTGTCTGTTACTTGTCTTTTTCTCTCCATTCTGACAGCAATCTACAGAACTACCTCCTGTAGTACAGTACTGTCTGAATAATGCATCAGTGTAGTAGTAGTATGAGTTGAGACCAGGACTGAACTGTTTGGTCTCAGTTCTCAGAGTCACATCTGGGGGAAACCAGTCACCTCTCAACACCTGCCCAACACCATCCCACCAGTGAAGCATGTTGGAGGCAGCATCAGGCTGTGGGGGGATGGGGGGACTGGTCAGGACTGAGGGAAAGATGAACGGAGCAAAGTAAAGAGAGATCCTTAATGAAAACCTGGTCCAGGACCACAGGACCTCAGACTGGGCTGAAGGTTCACCTTCCAACAGAACACTGACCCTCAGCACAGCCAAGACAACACAGGAGTGGCTTAGTGTCTGCTCACAGTCGTCCCCATCCAGCCTGACAGAGCCTGAGAGGATCTGCAGAGAAGAACGGCAGAAAATCCCCAAATCCAGATGTGCAAAGCTCATCGTGTCAGACCCAAGAAGACTGGAGGCTGTAATCACTGCCAAAGGTGCCTCAACTAAGTCCTGAGGACAGTGTCTGAATGCTAACCCTAACCCTTTATACTAACACAATTTTTTTTTTCTTTAAATAAATTTGCAAACACTTCTAAAATTCTGTTTTCACGTTCTCATTATGGTGAAGTTAGTGAAGGAAAAATGATTCTAAATGATTTATTTTCTGGATCCACTGTATACACACTCCCACACAAACACAACCTCTGTCATCCTTGCCCATGCCCCCCCCCCCCTGCACACTGCTTTGGGATCACAGGAGCAGTTGTACTGTCAAGCTTGCAAGCAATGAGACCTAATTATGCAATTTTCAGAAACAAATTAGACAAAAGCACTCCTGGTCTGTCATTATGTGTGTGTGTGTGTGTGTGTGTGTGTGTGGTGGGTGTGTGTGTGTGTGTGTGTGTGTGTGTGTGTGTGTGTGTGTGACAAGGCAGGTCAATGTTGACCTTTGTCCAGGACACACATCAAAACCCATTTGCTATATTCTTTCATCTATGTCCTGAACCTTTAAGTTCCCCTCCACAGGTGTGTAAAAATACTTTTCTATGATTAATATTTTGTTTAACTTGATTTTCCACATAAAAAAGTACAAAAAAAACAAACAAACAAACAAACAAAAAAACCCTGAAAATTGGCAGCTAGCAGACGCATCAGACTTGGAGCGTAGTTAGCATCTTTATTTGTTTATGTTGTTTGTTAGCTTGTTAGCTTGCGGCTGACACAGTGTAAGTGGTTGGGCCAATTAGGGCTATGTGACATGACTTCAAATAAATATCATGATTATTTCAACCATTTACCTCAATTATGATTAAAGAACGATCACTTAATTTATTTGCTTTTTTAAACTTATAGTTAAGTTATAGTTCTCTGACAAGGTCTGTACTGTAAATATGCTGAACTATTAAAGCTTGGATATATTGGATATATCAAAGAGTTAAAATCAAAGCACACGTCGCTTGAAATGAAAACAGCTCGTGAAAAAGGTCAAAATGAATGGTGTTACCTTTGGTTGCTGAAATTGTTTTTCTGCAGTGTTTGCATTGGACTTTTTTTCTGTCTTTACTGAAGCTAAAATGCGCCCAAACCACAGACACAGCTTCTTCTTAGATATAAACTGCTCGGGTTGAGGCTCAGTGTCTGTGCCCGTGTCGTCCACATCACCAGCTTCGCTTTGACTGAATGTGGACTAATGTTAGTTGGACAGGATGGAGGCACGTGACCGTACACAAAGTGGTATTTCATGAACCAATGCATTGGGAAAAGTAACTCAATTAATTGACATGAGTGAGATTAAGACAGCGATAGGTCCAAATGTCCTATGATACTTTTTCAATTTATTGCCCAGCTCTAGTGAGAATGCAAAGACTCGCACTCTGTACTGACATGGTTTAGAGTTTCTTTTCCTATCTAAAATAAATTTATAGCCAAACCTTAAACTCGCCTCTTTTACAAGTGAAGACTTAAAAGTTTCCCACTTTACAGGAATCTGTCCTTGTGAAGCCATATGGTACTACAGCAATCACAAACACACACAAATACACACAACACACCTCCTCTTAACCTTTCTTCACATCTAAACAGTCACAAAGAGACACATTTATACAGCCCATGCTGTGGCAGGCCTTGGCCCTTACTGCTGGCCCTGTGTTCATTCAATGGACTACAGTGTGGGCTCTGTGTGGCGCTCTATGAAAAGCCTTGTGTGTGTGTGTGTGTGTGTGTGTGTGTGTGTGTATCTTTTTGTGTAAGTGTGTGTGCAGCACAGAGAGGAGATGGATACATGGACCTGGCTATGGTTTTAAAAGCAGCTTAATAACTGTGTATTTGTTAAAAAGACACCTAGCCTTTGCTTCCAAACCATAAAGGAAGGTAAAATGTTAGCGCAGCGCCTAGAAGCGGAAAACACTGCTGACCGAGAGTCAATAAGTCTGTGGAGGGTTTGAAATTCTTCCTCTGAGGGCTATGAAATGATTTTACATTGGTTTGGGAATAGTAACACATGCACACTGAAATTAAGTGTTCTCTAATGTCAGTGTTATAGTTCAGTGAATACACATTGGTGATTAGTCAATATTTTCTGCTAGTATTAAATGACTTTAAGTTTAAATAAGTTTAATATTCTTGACATGTTATTCTTGGCAGGGCAGAGAAACATCTGATACGCGATTTAAACATCCTCCAGACTCTCCACAGAAACCCAGACTTTGCTGAAATGAATAAATAAACATATGTGCTAATACTAACCTTTATACAACTGGGTTCTACTGTTGTCAGGCTTGAGAAGTGTTATCTTTCACTATTCTGCTTTCTACACTTAGAGCAGGTAGAAGTAGTTCACAGAGTAGAATAGAAAAAGGTAACATAACAATAATCTGAATAATCAAGAAAAAAAGCTGAGAAACACTTAGAGACCTTACTTTTAAAAAGGAACTGTGTTGTGCTGTCTGGGGGTTAAAATAGCAAAAGTGCAGTCAGAGTTTGATTTGAGTCTGTTCAGTGAATTAATGAGAAGGTATGGAGGTGTCACGGCAGAGATCAGACCAGTGATTGTTATAAAGATGGACAACGTCACAGCTCCCCAAACATGAAGCCAAAACATCTCGATTGCCCCCTGGTGGCTGGCTGCAGTGTAGGTCACAAACCCCGCCCCCTCCATGTTAGTGGATGGTCCAAACTAACAGATCAAAGTACACGTCAAACACAGTTTTCCCAAAGATTGTTTCTGACATTTTAGCTAGTTCTTATCACACCGATGTTTGCTCAAGTTTTCCTTTTTATGCGTCCACGCCGGCGACAGCCCGGGAAGGAGGCCTTACGTTTGTTCTCCATCCATTCGTCCGTCCCATTCTCATGAACGTGATATCTCAATAACGCCTTGAGGGAACTTCTTTAAATTTGGTACAGACGCTCACTCAAAGATGAACTGATGAGAATTTGGTGTTCAACGGTCAAAGGTTAAGGTCAGTGTGACCTCACAAAACATTTTTCTTCTAATCAGATAAAATGATGAAGTGATGACATTCTATATACAAACAGTTGAAGGTAACCTTCACTGTGACATCATAATGTTATGCAAAAGCCATTAATCGACACCTCAGGAAGGAGACTGTGACCATATTTCCTGTAACATGGCAGTAACAAGTTTGATTTTAATTCATTTTAATTTGACTCGTGACGTGGGAACATTAGAGGTGCTGTGACGAGAGAAGATCTCTACCTGACCAAAGTTCTACTCGCAGCAAGCTAAGAAAGCTCTTACAGAAAGTGGCTGAATGTAAACGCTGCAAATCAGGAACAGTGGCTGGAAATTGTCCAAGACATTTTCATCATGGAAAAGTTAACATATCTTTTGAGTCAGTGAGAATGTGTTTAAAAAGGAACAGTTTTTTTCCTCCTCCTGGACTTGTTTCGGGGTGTGGAAAATGTGTTTGCTCGCTCGCTCGCTGTGGACTTTTAAACATCGCGGGTGAAATAAAATGCAGCGAGGACTCGACCAGTCAGAAATGTTCAGCACTGCAGACCACACCCCCCCCAAAGTTCCCTCCGACGAGGTACCTTTTTGGGGGTCGATCAATTACCCCAGAACTAAATTTAGTCCCTGGTTCCTGCGGTGGAAACGTGCATAGTCCTCAAAAGGTTCCTGATTCCTGGGGAAAGTTCCTGCGGCGGAAACGTGGCTAAAGTGTTTGTTCTGTTATGTTCTTGATGTGTTGTTCCGTCAATATTCTTGTGAAAACTCAATAAGAATGTAGGTGTGAAGAAAAAAAATGAGTGATTTGATGCTATATAACGATGGGTTGGGCAGGAGCTCAATACTGCAGCTAAATCTATTATCTAAATCTTTATGTTTTATCCACAAAGAAAATAAATCAGATAAACAAACAGGGTAACCCTGTGAAAGAGTCTGACCTTCAGTCTGTCTCCATACTTTCAATGTTCATTCATGCCATCTACCTGGATGAATGAATGAATGCTCGGCAAATCGCTGCACATACAGCATGTGAGCAAATAGGAATTAAAGTCCCAACTTAGCTTCTTGTTATTCAGTCAGCAACAGTCTTCCTTCTATCAATAACGGTGACCAATGAAACACTTTTCAGATAAATGTCATTATAAAAGATAACGTTACTACTTTTTGTTGTGCATGGAACATCTCCAGTGTGTATCTATAGATACCAGGTGTTTTTTTTTTGCACAAATGTGCAACAATTCAGGTAAAATATGACTTGAGTTTTCCGTGGTGGGATGTATAAGGGAACAGTATAAACTTAAATTATTCCTCTTAAAATGTAGCTGCAAACATGTTATTTATCTTAATAAAAAAATATTACATTTCATGTTTACAACATGTGGCTTAACAATCATCCACAACACGATTTTTTTTTCAGCGATTTTCTCACTCTAACTCTCGACATATTCTGTTGGTACAATGTCGCACACACGTTTTAATAACTGATGTAACACACAGTGACTGCATTAGCAGCAGGATGAAAGAAACGCTCATTGAAACAACTGTTTCAATTGTCCCAACAGTGACTCCTGGCAGTTGTTGGAATATTTCAGGCTATTAAACCTAAAACTGTTTAATGATTTATACTAGTGGATATTTAGGTGCTAAGGGTGAGTTGTGGTTTAAACATCTGCCTCAAGGAAACTATTTACAACCACTGATAAGGACCACTCTATGGGCATGTGTAGGGGGCAGCCGGAGGTAACAGAGGTAGAGAAGTGGTAATTTATGTGTAAACACTAACTGTCTTCTTTTTGGCGCGCTGAGTTTTAGGTTTCACTTAGGGTCGGAGTCAGATGGGAAGGAGGAAGCCAGCAGAGCCAATCAGAAGACGACAAAACGCCCATGCACATTTCTTTGTTTGTATCTGTATAAATACACTGGATCAGGGAAAGTTAGGTTGTCAGACTGTGGACTGACCAACACTTGTTATTGGTTAGGGAAACACACATCTGATCCAGAATTCTGTATTTGTTCATTGCTTGTTGAAAAGATTTACTAAACAAATTTAACTAAATTCTTTGGTGTGGACATTTACTGGTCTTTTGAGTATTTTGAACACTGCACACACCCCGTGGGGGGGGTGAGAGTTTTTTCCTCCAAATAGCAAAAAACTCCTTCACAGTATAGAAGCTAAACTCCAACACTGCAAACTTGGATCTGTCAAAGTACTGATTCTAGCATGATCTGTCGATCATGGCAATGACACAACTTGTCATTCAAAACAACTGCCACTTGAGTGAATTTACTTATCGTGATCCGAAACAGTCTCTCAAGTAAAACTCCACAGAAGTATGAAGTATCCACGCAATATCGGGTCTGGTAAGTGGTGTGTGTTGTACGTGCTGACGCAGTTTGACATATCTGACTTGTATGGGCTTGGAGAAAATCGCTGTGCTCTGTTTGCCCCGTGTTTTTGACAATATAACATAAACTCCTACTCTAACAGATCAAATAAAAACATAACAATATTCTATGTACAATTCTGTCACCACATAAATAATACACTCTAACCCAGAAGAAAGACCAAACATCATTAGTTCAAAGACATGTGGGAAAGAAGTGACTTTGTAAAACTGTCAGTTTACACAAAGTAAAATCTCTTTTTTTCCCCAAGCAGGAGAAAATTCTCATTACCAGACAGACACACAAACATCTTACTGTACAAACAGATGCGCGCGTGTGTGTGTGTGTGTGTGTGTGGTTGTTGGCAATATCAACAAACACTTAAGAGAGACAGGAAGGGAAAGAGTGAGAGGAGGAGAAAGTGCTGTGGTGCATTCTCTGTCTACATTTCTGTGGGAAAACAGTGTGTTCACTTTAATTTATCTTATGTATGAAAACCTTGTATTTCCAAAATTCAGAATTGTCACAAACTGAGGAACGGCTCTTGATGTTAGTCACCTCCACATGTCATGTGTGTCATGTTTTCACTTGTGTCTGTTTGTTGCTTTGTGTGTTTTGTCAGCAGGATTACGCAAAAAGTACTGAACTGATTTACACCAAACTTGGTGGAGGGATGGGGCAAAAAACCCACTACATTTTGATATAAATCCAGTTAAAGGGCCAGTCCCAGGAATTTTTTAGCACCTTCCTTAACATTGTGAGACAGGCAAGTTCTCAGAAATAATGTTTGGATCAGACATACTTATGGTGTTGTCATCTATGAGTTTTTATAATTTGGTACGTCGTTGGAGAGTCTTCATGTGTTTGTTATGGATTACATGTATATTTGTTTTCTGATCTTTAATTCAGAATATTGACAATTCAATTATTTCTTCTTGAAGGCAGTAGTCTTGTTTAAGCCTCTCTCATGTTCTTTTCAAGTTTTTTTTTTTTACTTCTTTCTCCCATTCTTTGTTGCCTTCTTGCTTCTTCCTCTCAGCCTCAGAGTAGGACGGAGCATTAGAGCCACATTGAGGGAAAAAAGGTTGTGTGTTGTTTTAGAGGGGAAATATCAGAAGCCTTAAAATGAGGAATGTGGAGCATCCTGTGAAGTTCTACTTTAGGTTTCACAAATAAGGAGAAACTTCTTCTTTGGGCTCATCAGCAGCATCATTACACTGACATTGAAAAGACTGTGAGGAAACTGAGTCTATTCTATTGTTAGACAGACAAACAGCAGCTGCCAGAAGCAGCTCAGACTGACACTGACTGTCCTTTCACCTGTTTAACTGGATGATGTAATATCATAAAAATTATGTTTTTTTCAATTCTTGTAATATTCCAACTTTATTCTCGAAATTTCAGGTTTTTTTCCTCAATGTGGCCCTGATACTCTCTCCTATCAGAGTGTATGAGTGCTTCTCTGTACATTTCAGTGTTATTACCTTCACCTCTCGTGTGTGTGTGTGTGTGTGTGTGTGTGTGTGTGTGTGTGTGTGTGTGTGTGTGTGTGTGTGTGTGTGTGTGTGTGGTAAAGGCGGGACTCACTGTCTGCTGCCGTGCTGCCATTGGGCAGCGAGCCCAGATCAACAACCATGCCGTCCAGACAGACGTTGAGCTCGCCTCCCGCTACAACCAAGCCTTTGTTCTCCGTCTGTAGCACCAGACTCAGCTGGACGTTCTCCACTAGAGGGGGGAGGAGGAGTAACAGAGACACAGAGTGAGAGGATGACTGCTTGACTTTGTTGCTGTACTTTATAGTGGTTTCAAAAGCAGACGTGACACTTCTGTGTCAAGAAGTGAAAAGTGTCCCACTGACGACTGACTAAATTGTTCCATTGCACCAAGAGCAGAAAACTGTCAATGAAAACAACATGTGACAGGGGTCGAGAATTATCATCTGAATCCAGAGCTCCCTGCAGCTTTGAGTTTCAGCTCATTGATTAACTGTCCAGCAAATTTAGTGTCTTGTTTCATTCTCTGTTTTCAGTGTTTTTAGCAATAAAGGCTAAAAAAACACTGCGCACTACTTGCTCGACTCTTGACAGACACAGTTGGCAGATATTGGCCTTACATTGAGCGGGGGGCCAGAATCACGACTCCAAATGAATGAATTTCTCCCACATTGCTGCATGTGTAATACATTCAATGACAAGTCCACCATACCAATACCCATAGCAGCCGTTTCACCCACGTGGCCACAACAACAGTTACTACAGGTTGAAATATTTTAACTGTGCTTTATTTAGGTATAGTTTTAGTATCAGTTCTGTTGTAGAGGCACTGGTATCAATAAGTTCTTAACTTTTTAATATCCAGCCTACGGTTAACACCCAACATCCCATTTTAGGAATCCACAAATTTAAAATTAGGGAGGACTCATGTCCTTTAAGGTGGGAGGCATATGACAAGAAACTCAATCTGCACACACTGACATCATAATACTCAACTTGCTCCAACACAGGATGACACAGCTTCCTCAAGTCACCGCTGCCAGTTACTTAGAACAGAAAGATTTATTTACATATCTTCAAGTTAGTCGTCATTTTGACGGAAATATTAGAATTACAGAGAAAAGCTGGATGAGTCATTTAAATGGACTGAAGCTCAGGGCGGCGGAGTGAATTCTCCTGGAAGAATGTCATCAAGTGTATCATCACATATTTAACATACATTTCTTTGGCTTTGACTTTGGCTTTTTTTTTTTTAACTGCATCCCTCACTGGCCAAAAGATTTTAGCCATCAGATACATGGATCCTGAGTTTTCTTTAAAGCAGCAAGCTGAGTAAAACCATACCATCTCACTGAGAGACAGAACACACTGGAACTCCACACACTGATACCAACGGGCCGATTCAAAAACTTGATGAGAGGTCTTTCTGACTTGGGGCGTAATTGTTTTACACCATCTCTTTTCTAACTTGCAGTTATCATTGCGTTTGACACTGTCTACCTGGTTGTGTATCTTAATGCATTTTTAAAAGCATTTAAATAAACACTCTGATCGCTGTTATATAAACACATGTCCACTTGTTTGTATGAATACACATCTGAATGTATGTTTAAATCACTGAAAATTTCTTCTCTTAATATTTGTCTTTATTTATTTTATTTTTCTGTGCTCAGGTCTCACTTGGTCTCATCTTGATCTCACTGTGACTTCCTGATTAAATACAGCATAAATGTTTCACCTCTACAAAGATAGAACATTAGCAGGGTGGTAAACCAGTTTGTGGTCACTGCTGGACATTGTGTGATCTTTTTAGTCGCACAACCTTTTCATATTTTTGGAACTGTCCAACAATTCAGCCTTTGTGTTTAGAAGCAGTAACAGTAATACTCTGTGTTTGAGACAGACTGTAGTTCTAGTACAATAAACAGTATTCAGGTCATTTTTCTGGTATTTAAATACTTTTCAGAATGTGACTGAGAAATGCAGCCATGTTTTGTCTCAGTTTGGACGACATCATGCTGTCAGTATCCCATAATCCATTATGGGCCAGAAAATACAAAGAGTGAATATATTTCTTGAAGGGCACAAAGCCACTATTACATGGACATAAAGGAAGCAAGGCATAAACGTCACTGCTGTTGTATGGACATACTGACACTGTTAACATGGTGCACTGTGTGACAGCTGTCCGTGTCGTCTTCAAGGGAAAATCTCACAACCTGTGCTGTAACCCTGAGTATTTGTGTGCACTCTGAGGACAACGTCCTGGTGATGAGCTTTCTGAGTTTACAGGCAGCACCTAGGTGTGAGGATAGACCTGGCCTTCAGAGGCTCGAAGAAGTCACTGACATGAGCCTCATCCTGCTCTGACACTCGGCTTTATATTCATACATTTATTAATTATCGAACACAGTGGTTATTACACTTCAGCAGAGCAGAACAGGAAAAGTTGTATTCGAGTAGTTTTTAAGATGGGACACTTGGGCTCCTCTCTGTTTTCTTTTGCACTCTTATTCTTATATCTAATCTTATTGTCTCATTACTTTTCTTTCTTTTCCAATTCTGGATATTAAATATCTAAAGTTTCCTGTGTATGTGCTGTAAATTCATACTTGTCTCTTGTTTTTATTCTTAAACACTCTGTATGTGTGTGTGTGTGTGTGTGTGTGTGTGTGTGTGTGTGTGCTTACTCTTGCCATCATGTGTGCGCAGTGTGTCCAACAGGTCTATGGTGGCACTGCCCAGCAGCTCCTTCCTCAGGGTGTGGCAGCTCCAAAGCTTCAGATCCAGATGACTCTGAGGCGTTACATTACTGTGACACACAAGGCAACACAAACACACACACTATCAACTGAGGCCTGGGCCCAGTTTCACCAAGCTGTGTCAGACTGGTCTGTAGTGTTGGTCCAGTCTTCATGTTGCTCACAGATCAGTCTGATGTTTGTCAGACTGTTTCACTAAAATAAAGACTGACTCATTTTACGTTAAAAACATTTGACAGTCCCAGGCTTTTTTTTATTTTATTTTTTTTATTTCTTAATTTACCCAGAATTCATTGTACCACAGTCTGGCTTAAGATAGTGAAGAACTAAACTGCTTTGTGCAACAGATGCATTTAGACTCGGTCTATCTGAAGTCTGACTGTTGGTTA